TGAGTTATGAACCAAAGAGAACCAGGACCCCTGGAGCAGATTCTCCTTCCCAATCCCAAGTTCCTTTGAAAGCGGTGAACACAGGCCAGGGAAGCGAGTGTTTATACTCCAGTTTAGTACTAGTGAAACATCGGGAATTCACTGTGTTGGTATCAAGCCCGAATCCAGAACATAAAGACCATAAAACTCTGCAAAGCCTCTGCTGTCTGACCGTGCGCTCCCCAGGCCTCCGCCGTCTGACCGTGCGCTCCCCCGGCCTCCGTCGTCTGACCGTGCGCTCCCCCGGCCTCCGCCGTCTGACCCTGTGCTCCCTGTGAAAGCACCACCCACAGGGTGCATCCTGGGGGCTGCCTCCTCCACGTTCGCCGGCAGTGTGGGGCCCATGGTGTTGTCACCCCACCCTGCCCCACAGTTCCCCTGCACACGTGTCTGTTCACAAAGATTCTGAGTAAAAGGTCACAAAACAGTTTCCTCTGCCCTTCATATTTGGGGAGGAGACCAAAGATCCGCAGGCGTCATCATCCCAGGCCAGGGCTGGTGACAGGAAGCAAGCGCCGGCACCTTCCTATGCTTCATGTGGGTTGGTTTATTTAACCTTCCTGTCTCAATGAGGATTTTCCTAAGCCTGGGGAAACTGAGGCACAAAGCAAGAAAGTCACCTGCCTGCAAAGACACCTGTGTGCAAACCAGGACTGGAAAAGCTTGGCCTGCAGTACACATGCTGGCTGCCCGCTCCAGAGCCCAGGCCCTTAACCACTTCCTTCCCAGAAAGACGGAGGGCGAGGAGGTTTCTTAACAGTGCTTCATGTCAACTCCTGCTGCTGCCCGCCACTAACCCAGGCTCCTGCAGATGGCAGGGGATGGGCTGTCCTACAAGCAGGCTTACTACGAAGCCCTGTCTAATGTTCCCTCGTGTCAGGTAGGAGGAATTAGGCCAGAGGTCAAGGCAGCATCTAGAATCAGTGGTGCTTTCTCAAAGTAGGAAAACAGTTTTAGGACTGTTTTCGTTCAAATTTTGGGCACCACTGTACTGGGTTCTATGACAGAGAAGCCACCAAGGTCCCGTGCGAGGAGCCCGGGCAGGGACAGCTGAAGCTGTGCACCTGGGCCCTCCCGATTCCCTCCTACCAGCTAGGCCTGGCAGTAGCCAGCAGCCAGCAGCCACCTGACCCCGACAGTGAAGGAGAGCTGCCCCACACTGTCGGCCCCCAAAGCTCAGGACACACAGGCCCTGCCAGGTCTTTCTGGTGGGCCAGGCCTTGGCAGGGCTCTCACGGCAGGCCCCACTCTGAACCACAAGCAGAGTCATCTGCAGTGTGAGACCTGCCGTCAGCACAGGGCTGCAGGCTGGGGGCTGTGCAGGGACACAGGGGCCGGCACCACTGGGCGGCCTTTCCGTCCCAGCCTGCCTGTGCACCCTGTGGGCAGTGACTCCTCAGGCACAGTGGCCCAAAGTCACAGGCGGTCTGTCAGGGGCTCTCCAGGGAGCTGGACACACTCAGGTTTAGATCAGGAACAGAACAGATCCCCAGGGCATTTGCTCAGGCTCAGAGCAGAGCAGGGAGCCATCCACCTGCGGCGGGCGCATCCGTGAACTTCCAAGTCAACAGGGACAGCTGCCCGGACGGGCTGCCCAAGCCAACCAAGGGTCCTGTCCCATCGGTCCCTGTGGCTTAGGAGTCTGACACTTCTTGGTTTTCCTTTCTCAAGCTGCCCCAGCTTCTCCAAGCCCTGAGCCTGGGACTCCCAGCTCTAAGCGATGCTCTGCAAGTAGCGTCCCTGCATCCCATGCAGGTGGATGGACACGGGACAGCCTGCAAGGAAGTGAGGCCCAGCAGCCTTCCTGGGCTTGGAACACCGCAGCCTAGGAAGCATCTTCCCAGGAAATCGCAGTTGGAGCCCAGCACGGGGTCTTGGAAGAAAAGGCCCCACCTTCTATCCTCACAAGCACGCGTTAGGAGTGAGCACCGCTCAGGAGATGACACAGAGGTACAGCCGGACCCAAGGAGGGGCACTCCGGAAACAGCTACATCCACAGGCACTCGGCAGGACCAGGAACCCAGAAGGCTTGACGTTCAGGGGGTCTCGGAGAAACTCCACCCCATCCTTCCCAGCCTCTTGCTTAGTTGGGCCTCACCCTAGCCCACTGGAGATGGCAGCTGTGCCATCAGAGAGGGGGATGGACAGACTGGCGGAGGTCACCCCGCAGGCCAGCAGAAGCCTCGGTGAGAGTACGCGGCCCCACAGATGGCTGCTCACGGGGCCCAGAGGCCACCCCTGCGCCGCAGAGGGCACCAGCACACCCGGACTTCCCCGAGGCTTCATATAGCTCCCAGGCCCCACCAGCAGCGTGTGGGCAGAGGCCCAGGCCCCTTCCCGTCGCTCAGAGAAGCTGCTGCCCCCAGAACACGGGGTGCCAGCCTCCCGTCAACACTGGGTCCCGACCTCGGTCCGCTCAGGATTCCTGTGTGGAAATGTCACTTCTGCCCCAGCCCTCTGGGGTGTACCTGGCATCCAGCTCTGCCTCCCTTCTGCTTAAGCAGGTGCTGGGAGACCCTGAGCCGGGCAGGCTGAGGTTCTGAGCTCGTGAGGGGTGCAGCAGTTTCCCGCACAGCATGGGGAGCACATTTGCTCATGTCTCCCAGGCTGGCTGTACACTCTGAGGACAGCCCTGGGCTCTGACACCCTCCGACTTTCACTGGGCCTTCTAAGCCCTCCTCTCCTGTCCACTGCTAGCCCATGGCCTGGGCCTGGCCTTGAAGCTGTAAAGACCTCTCACCCCATCCAAACGAGACTGGTCAGATATCTCCCGCATGTCAGCCACCACTGGATTGGGAAGGAGGGGTGGTAGGTGCAAAGCTGGCCCTTTTTATGAGAGTAATTTAAAAAACAAAAACAGGTCAGGCACAGGGGCTCACACCTGTAATCGCAGCACATTGGGAGACTGAGGCAGGAGGGTCACTTGAACCCAGGAGTTTGAGACCAGTCTGGGCAACATAGTGAGATCCTGTCTCAAAAAATGTTAAATGAAAACATTAGCCAGCTGTAGTGACACATGCCTGTAGTCCCAGGTACTTGGGAGGCTGAGATGGGAGGATCGCTTGAGCCCAGGAGACAGAGGGTGCAGTGAGCTATGACTGTACCACTGCCCTCCAGCCTGGGCGACTGAGGGAGATCCTGGATCCAAACAAAAAAATAGAAAGAGAAGGAGGGGGTAGATGAATCCCATTTGTGTCATTAATCAATTCTCTTATAGAGAAAATAAAACGATTGAAACTGGGCCATCTTGGACAGCTGAGGCCCAGGCAGGGCCAGCTCCTTCCACCTTCCCAGCCAAGATGCTGCCTGCGGCCCCTCCCCTCCTGGCCCGAGATGCTGTCACTGTCCCTAAGAGACCCTGAGGCCTGCTCCAGGCTGAGTGGGTGAGAAGCCTCTCAGCAAGCGCCTGCATCGAGGCATGCCCTCCTGAGAGGTGAGGCTGACCTGCAGCGTCCAGCTCGGCTGGGGAAATTCACCTGAGAAGGGCCCAGTCCTGGGTGCCTCCCTGGGGGAGGCCTTGGGGCTGCTTGTGCTGGTACCGACATGGGCCTGGGGAGGGACCTGTGTGTGGGTGGCAGGTACTGAGTCATGGGGGAGGGTGTCAGGGGGAGATGCTGGTGGTAACAGTGGGACGTAGGAAGTGAAACCAGCAGTGTGACTTTGGAGGTGCTGGAGGAGCAGGGCCTGGCGGAGGGGGTAGGGGAGCCAGGAAGGAGCAGTTGCCAGGGACGGCCTGGCCTGGGAGGGTGGCCAGGAGCTGGGGAAGAAGCCGGTGGTCTCTCAGTGCAAAGGTGGGGCTGGCCTGGAGGAGAGGCCCACAGGGTCCCTGCTGGCTGAGGGTGCAGTGGCGGGCCCCGGAGGCTGAATATCAACCCCGCCGCTGGGCAGGCAGCGCTCAGAGCAAAATGGGTGACTGGAGGGCACGTGCCAGCTCTGCTCCTCAAGCTTGGCCCAGGAGGGGCCTGCAGCACGGGGCTCGGGGGCAGGCAGCCCTTCTCTGTTGTCTCCCCTGCCTTCTGAGGAGGGAGCCTCTGGAATCTTTCATCGCCACTGCAACAAACTTAGGCTTTCGTGTCGGAAAAGAGCCCACTTCTGACAAGGCTCATCTGGGCTCTCCCCAAGCCTCTAAGTCTCCCACCACCTGGCTCCCCGTTCCTCTTTCCCTTGAAGGAAGTCAGCAGAGCGCGTGGCTGACGGGAAAGACGCCACAGCGGACCTGCCTGGCGGGGGGAGAGGCCAGGCCATTGTTCTCCAGTTCCAGGATGCCCCGCTCCCCCAAACAGCCTGGCAGCCTGGAACAGGAAGTCTCTGGGCACAGAGGCAAGCAGGGGGCACAGAGGCAAGCGGGGGACCACAAACAGGCAAAGAGTCGAAGGCTCCACCCACCTGGGCCAGTCCAGGCTCCCACAGAACCCCTCTGCGGCCAGGCAGGCACGTGGGACCCGGGCCATCACCCTCACTTGGACGCAGGTGCGGCGATGGCAGGGGAGGGGTGTCTACGGCAGCGCCCAGAGCCTTGGGCAGGAAAGGACCCTGGCTAATGTGCCTGGAACAGCTCAGTGACAGGGAGCTGGGCTGGCTGTGAGGGTCGGGCACGCGTCATGAGTCTTCTGTGACCCGGAGACGCAGGAACACTGGCTCACACGACTTGCCAGGTCCTGGCACGCTGTGGTCCTGTGGGCGCCACCTGCGGCTCCCAGCCTGCAAAATGTACACCTTGCTGGACATGGTGGCTCACATCTGTGATCCCAGCACTTTGGGAGGCCGAGGCGGGCAGATCACCTGAGGATGGGAGTTTGAGACCAGCCTGGCCAACATGGAGAAACCTTGTCTCTACTAAAAATATAAAATTAGTTGGGCGTGGTGGCGGGTGCCTATAATCCCAGCTACTCGGGAGGCTGAGGCAGGAGAACTGATTGAACCTGGGAGGCGGAAGTTGCAGTGAGCCGAGATTGCACCACTGTACTCCAGCCTGGGCAACAGAGCAAGACTCTGTCTCAAAAACAAACAAACAAACAAAAAAACCATACACCTCATGCTCACTCCTCTGGGAGCCACAGCTAACAGCCCGCAGGCAGGATACTCTCAAACCAGCTCCTGGAGGGCACTCCCAGGGACCCCTGTTCCTACCATGAGCCCCGCCAAAGAGGAGGTGGGCCATGGAGGCTTGTCCACCCAGGTGTGGCCGAGAAGAGGGTTTCCTCACACTCTGCTGACCTGCTTTCCTTCCATGCCTCTCAGCCCAGCTCCTGACACAGGTGGAAACCTGACCTCCTTGGCTTTAGAATGTCCCCCAGAGCCCACAGAGCAACCCGCCCCCAGCCACCTTCCCTCCCAAGATCTCCAGGTAATGCCTGGTAAAAGGAGGACTCCGGGGAGGATGTTGGGAAAACATGCAAAGCGCATCACCTTCCAACCGATGGAGAGTGAAGGAAAACAGGTACCATTTGGCTTGTAACCTTCACTGGAAATAGAAACCATCCTCATCATTGATACCTGGTGAACTGCACAGAGAACAACCTGCAGCTTTGGAAGCTTATAAATCCTTCAGTATTTGTCAGCTACCAGTAAACAAAAATGCACACGGGAGAACTTTCCACCCGAACCCCACCTGGAGGCCAGCGTTCCCAGGTCCCGGCTGGTGTGACAGCACGCACTCGAGGGCCAGCTCAGACACGGCGAGTGGGACGCACGTGAGCACAGGGAGGAAATGCCAGCAGATCCTGCTTCACGTGACCACCTCCCAAGAATCAAGCCATTCTTAGCCTCACAGACGCTGGCCGCCTCCCTCTGGCTCGGCCTCACGGCAGGGCAGGCATTAGCAGTCCAGGCAGCTTCTCTCTGACTCCCCGCAAGGAGGGGTGCGGTGGGCAACAGGCTGGCCCCGCACAGTTCCACCTGCAGGAGAGCCCAGCAGAGCAGCCCTTGCAGGAGGCTGTGTGTGTGGGGCCGGCTCAGCTTTTCTCTGGCCATGCCCGTGTCCCTTCTGTGCACGGAGACACCAGATGCACGTGCTCCCCTCTCTGCTTCCGACCCAAGCCTGCCCTCGGCCTCTGCTGTGCCTCCAAGGGCTCCTGTGTCCTGTGGGCTGAGTGAGCACGGCCAGGCCTTCGCTCGACAGTAGACCCTTCTATTGATTTCTTCACAGAAAAAAGGGCTCATAACCAACATTTAAAGCACACTGAACACCAGGAGCGGCTGCATGGACCTGGACACGTGTCTGCCTGACCTGCCCCTGGGCTCTTGGTAGGACGCCCTGCAGCAATGCAGACAGGGGCCTGCAGGGAGAGGCCACATCCCCAGGAGCCAGGCTATCAGAAAGGTGGGGCAAGAGGCCAGCTATGCTCGCTTTGCAGTGCGGTCCCGTCCAAGCACGGCCCCTCATTTCTGGAACCCGGCTGTAAACAGCAGGAGGGAGGGGCGGCGGCGCCTGCCAAGGGAGGCAGAGGCCCTGCGGGGAACTTACCAGAGGAAAACAAGTGCTTGCATCCTGGGGCCCTCACACGCACGCGCAGGAGGCCAGGCGTGCTGCTGATAAGAGCCTGCGGGTTTGCAGAGAAGCGCAGCAGCGCAGGTCCTCACCGGAGTTCTGGTGGCCACCTCTGTCCCACCATGCTGCTCACCGACAGTGTCCGGGGCCCACAGCACCAAGAGGCTTGGGCCACAAAGTAAAGGTGAGAGCCTGTGGTGCCCGCAGGCAGAAGAGGGGACATGGGGGGCTCTGTGCAGCGCAGAGAGGGTGCAGGTGGGCGAGGGGACGTGGGAGGCTCTGTACAGTGCAGGCAGGAGAGGGGACGCGGGGGGCTCTGTGTAGTGCAGGTGGGAGAGGGGACGCGGGGGGCTCTGTACAGTGCCACCAGCCGGCATCTCCAGGGAATGAAGGGGTGCCAAGACGGAGCACACTGAGGGGTCCCGGCCCTTGGCAAGCTCTGTGAGGCAAAGGCGGCTGGCCAGGGGTGCCCTCCTGTCAGTGGCTGGAGGCAGCACACAGGGCACACAGCGAGACAGCCCTCCCGCTCCGATGTTCTAACCACAGACCCTGGATAGATCTGGGGACCCTGGGCGCCCCGTGAGGCCAGGCCAGGCTGTTGACTGACACTCAGTCGCAGTGGCCGGTGTTTCCTGGGGACTCAAGTGGAGTCTGGGCAGTGACGTCCTCAAAATGGGCTGCCACTCTGTGACAGCCAAAGCCATGCAGCCTCGCAGGCAGGAGCTGGGGTGTGGGGGACCACAATCCCGAAGAACCCCGTCCTCTGGACCCTGGTGCAGCAGGAGGGGAGAAGCCCGCAGAAGCCCGGACGCCTCCCCCCTCAACGGCCCCCGCTGCTGTGCTTGGAGCAGGTGTATCCTGTCTGGAGCTTGTGCTGGCCCGGCGAGTGGAGCCCAGAGCCCACCCCCAACTACCAACATCCCCCAGATTGCCGCCTGCCCGGCCCAGGAGGTTCTAGTCAAGATGTATTAGCGAGGGGCTGGACAAGGTGAGCATGTGAGAAGCAGGGGCTGGGGGGCCAGGACCTGGGGGTGCTGCGGCAGCACTGTGGCTGGGCACACCCGGCGATGGCCTAGCTCTGCATGCCTGTCACCACCTGACCCTCACTGCGGCTGCTGGGTGGCATTCACCAGGATTGCACAATGACCTACACCTCCCGTCCTGCCCGCCAGCCTCTGGATGGGAATTCCCACATCCACCCACCCGCCCATCTGCCAGCTGCCTGCATGCTTAGCCCCAGGGCCACGTTGCCTGCTGTGGGGCGCACGCTGCTACTGGCACTGGGGGCCTCGGGCCCTGGCCCTCTGCACTCTCCTCCTCCCGAGCCTCCTCTTCCTACCCTGCTGTGGCCCCGTCTGTGGTGTGGGTCTTGCAGTGGCAGGACTCCGGTGGCAGGTGAGGACCCGCTCCCGCAGTCAGCCTCTGCACTGCTCCCGCCTCCGGGCACAGGAACGATGCCGTCTGCTCGTCTGCCTGAGATGCTTTTCTAATCCACTCTGAGAGCAGGAGGTCAGCCAGGACCAAATGCCATGCTGGACATCAGGCTTCCCGAGATAGCTGCAGGTCCCCAAGGAATGCCTGTGCTTTGGTGGGGGCAGAACTCTTACTCTAGGATGGCTCCAGCCGCTAGGTTCTCGTTCAGTGACGTCAAGACCGGCTATATCCCCATGTCCCCAGAGCCTCCTGTGGGCTGTGACCCACAGGTCACCCTCCCTGGAGCCCAGGCTCTGCAAGGACTCCAAGGTGCCGGGTCCTGGGCTGCCGGGAGGGAGGGAGGCACAGGGCTGACCGTCCACATTGCCTGTCCCTCCTGGCACTGGCAGGATCCGAACACCACAGGCACCTAGTAAACTTCAGGAATCATAGCGCGGGGCCCGTCCAACCAAGTCAGGATGACCAGCCAGGCCTTGCAGCAGCCCACAAACAGTGGGCTCTGACTGAGCATGTGGGGCATGCCAGGCTCCCTCTCTGGTACCCAGCCCCAGCTGCTGAAATGAGTGCAGCCACATCAGCCCCCGGTCAGGACCTGATGCGGCCATTTTTCTTTTTTTCTTTTTTTTTTTTTTTTTTTTTTTTGAGACGGAGTCTCGCTGTGCTCCCAGGCTGGAGTGCAGTGGCGTGATCTCGGCTCACTGCAAGCTCCGCCTCCCGGGTTCACGCCATTCTCCTGCCTCAGCCTCCGAGTAGCTGGGACTACAGGCGCCCGCCACCACACCCGGCTAGTTTTTTGTATTTTTAGTAGAGACGGGGTTTCACCATGTTAGCCAGGATAGTCTCGATCTCCTGACCTCGTGATCCGCCCGCCTCGGCCTCCCAAAGTGCTGGGATTACAGGCTTGAGCCACCGCGCCCGGCCGATGCGGCCATTTTTCAATGCTCAACTTCATTTTCACAGAAATGCACCTGAGGCAGTCTCACTCTGTGGTCTCCAGCTATTCCTGCGCCACGAGAAGGCGCCCCTGTACCTGCAGCACTTCTGAGCCAGGGTCCTGGGAGGGGACACGAGCTGACCACCTGTTCCTTCTTTCTGCAGGGTCGCGGAGCCTCGCCGGCTGCCATGTGGGGCTGCGGCTGGTTCAACGGCACAGGGCTGGTGGAGGAGCTGCCTGCCTGCCAGGACCTGCAGCTGGGGCTGTCACTGCTGTCGCTGCTGGGCCTGGTGGTAGGCGTGCCAGTGGGCCTGTGCTACAACGCCCTGCTGGTGCTGGCCAACCTACACAGCAAGGCCAGCATGACCATGCCAGATGTGTACTTTGTCAACATGGCAGTGGCGGGCCTGGTGCTCAGCACCCTGGCCCCTGTGCACCTACTCGGCCCCCCGAGCTCCCAGTGGGCACTGTGGAGCGCAGGCGGTGAGGTCCACGTGGCACTGCAGATCCCCTTCAATGTGTCCTCACTGGTGGCCATGTACTCCACTGCCCTGCTGAGCCTCGACCATTACATAGAGCGTGCACTGCCGCGGACCTACATGGCCAGCGTGTACAACACGAGGCACGTGTGCGGCTTTGTGTGGGGCGGTGCGCTGCTGACCAGCTTTTCCTCGCTGCTCTTCTACATTTGCAGCCATGTGTCCACCCGCGCGCTGGAGTGCGCCAAGATGCAGAACGCAGAAGCTGCCGACGCCACGCTGGTGTTCATCGGTTATGTGGTGCCTGCACTGGCTGCCCTCTATGCGCTGGTGCTACTCTCCCGCGTCCGCAGGGAGGACACACCCCTGGACCGGGACACAGGCCGGCTGGAGCCCTCGGCACACAGGCTGCTGGTGGCCACCGTGTGCACGCAGTTTGGGCTCTGGACGCCACACTATCTGGTCCTGCTGGGGCACACAGTGCTCATCTCACGAGGGCAGCCCGTGGACGCGCACTACCTGGGGCTGCTGCACTTTGCGAAGGATTTGTCTAAACTCCTAGCTTTCTCCAGCAGCTTCGTGACACCGCTTCTCTACCGCTACATGAACCAGAGCTTCCCTGGCAAGCTCCGGCGGCTGATGAAGAAGCTGCCCTGTGGGGACCGGCACTGCTCGCCAGACCACATAGGGGTGCAGCAGGTGCTGGCGTAGGCGGCCCAGCCCTCCCAGAGAGACGTGACTCTGGTGGACGCAGAGCAGTTAGTTACTCTGGATGCCTCTGCGTCCTTCCAGAAGGAAGAGAAGTTGGAGCGGTGTTTTTCTTGAAGTTTTCTTTTTCCCACAAATGCCACTCTTGGGCCAAGGCCATGGTCCCAGTGGCTGGCGTCTGGCGTGAGCTTCCCTGAGGCCTGTGCGTCTCCTGAACACACAGCTCAAGGTCCACATCCGCAAAAGCCTCCTTGCCTTCAGCTTTCTCAGCATTCAGTTTGTCAATGAAGTGATGGACGCCTAAAGCCAGTATATATACTTTGTGGTTAAAATACTTGATTCCCCCTCCTTTGTTTTATAAAAACAGATGTTTTCTAGAAAAATGACAACTATTAAAATGAAGAAAACCCTAAGAAAGAATGGCAACAGCCGAGGTGGCTGGGCCCTGGCAGTGGGAGGTGGCTGCTGGCCGGGCCTGCTGGGTGTGCCACGGTCACCATAGGGTTCTGAGAACATTTCACAGAAGTGCCTGAGACACGGAGACACGGCTGGTGTTAAACGGAGTCATTTGGTAGCAGTGACACGCTCTCAGCCACCAAATGTCCCTGACACCCTCCCCAGCCCCCAGAGATAACATCAGCTGAGGCTTTTTTCAGTTTGAACCTGTTCTAAATCAACTCCTCAAAGTGTGCACAAAACTAAAGAATATAAATAAACAAAAGAAATTAAGATGTGTTAGGATTTCTGACTGAATACCAGAGCTGAAGGGCCCCCCCAGGGGACAGAAGGCTGGAGGCTGTGTCACATGGGGTCTGGCGAGAGGGCCAGGGTGGAACCTGAGGCCAGCTCCCAAGGCACCTGGAACCAGCATCCGCATCTCCTCGGCCCTGGCAGCCTCAGGTGGGGCCCGGACCGGCCTGTTCCACTTGGGCCCACGGGTCTGTAGTGAGACGGGTCCATCCATAGTGAGGCGGGTCCATCCATAGTGGGGCAGGTCTTAGTGAGGCGGATCCGTAGTGAGGCGGGTCCGTGGTGAGGCAGGTCCCTAGTGAGGCGGGTCTCAGTGGGGTGGGTCTTAGTGGGGGGGGGTCCATAGTGGGGCGGGTCCGTGGTGAGGCAGGTCTGTAGTGGGGCAGGTCTTAGTGGGGGGGTCCATAGTGAGGCGGATCCTTAGTAAGACGGGTCTTAGTGAGGCAGGTCTTAGTGAGGCGGGTCTGTGGTGAGGCGGGTCTGTGGTGAGGCGGGTCTGTGGTGGGGCGGGTCTGTGGTGAGAAGCAGGTTGTGGTGGTGAGGCGCGGTCTCTGTGGTGAGGGGGTCTGTGTGGGGCGGGTCTGTGGTGGGGGCGGGTCTTGTTGAGGCGGGTGTGGTGGTGAGGCGGGTGTGTGGTGGGCGGTGTGTGGTGAGGCGGGTGTGTGGTGGGCGGGTGTGTGGTTGGGGAGGGTCTGTGGTGAGGCGGGGGTCTGTGGTGGGGCGGTCTGTGGGTGAAGCAGGTGTGTGGTGAGCGGGTCTGTGGTGGGGCGGGTCTGTGGTGAGGCGGGTCTGTGGGAGGCGGTGTGTGGTGAGGCGGTGTGTGGTGAGGCGGGTGTGTGGTGAGGCGGGTGTGTGGTGAGGCGGGTGTGTGGTGAGGCGGGTGTGTGGGTGGGGCGGTGGTGGTGAGGCGGGTGTGTGGTGAAGCGGGTGTTGGTGGGGCGGGTCGTGGTGGGGGGCTGTGTGTGGTGGAGCTGGTGTGTGTGGTGGAGGCGGGTGTGTGGTGAGGCGGGTGTGTGGTGAGGCGTGTGGGTGAGGCGGGTGTGTGGGAGCGGGTCTGTGGTGCAGGCGGGTGTGTGGTGGGGGCGGGTGTGTGGTTGAGGCGGGTGTGTGGGCGCGGTCTGTGGTGGGCGGGTCTGTGGTGAGGCGGAGTTGTGTGGTGAGCTGGGTGTGTGGTGAGGGAGTGTGTGTGGTGAGGCGGGTGTGTGGTGAGGCGGTCTGTGTGACTGGGTGTGGGGCGGTGTTGTGTGGTGAGGGGGCGGTGTGTGGGGGCGGGTGTGGTGAGAGGTCTGTGTGAGGAGGGTCGTGTCTGAGGTGGTTGGTGGGCGGGCTGTGTAGTGAGGGCGGGTCTGTGTGAGGCAGGTGTGGGTAGAGCGGGTCTGTGGTGGGGCGTGACCTTATCTTTGAGGTTGGGGTTGTCGTGAGGCGTGTCTGTGGTGAGGCGGGTGTGTGGTGAGCGGTGCTGTTGGGGGGTATGTGGTTGGGCGGGTTTTGGTGAGCGGGTGTGGTGCGGCGTGTGTGGTGGGGCGGGTATGTGTGGGGCGGGTTTTTGGTGA